CTTGGCCAGAATTGAACCTGGGACCCTTCAGTCCACAGGCTGATGCTCTATCCACTGAGCCACACCGGCCAGGGCCAGGGCCTTTTTATAAAATGCACGGGGACCCATTATGTTCCCCACTTTGTCCCACCTGAGCTGCCATGGGGTCTCAGCGAGCAATGGACTCACTCAAGAGGTCATTGTCTTTGTCATCTAAGACCCTGTCAGTCCAACAAGAGAATGCAAGTGGCTGGACCAGAGTCAAGTTTGAATTTCCAGGTCCTATTTCTGCTGGGCTGTCGTCACTCGAACGCTATGCTGGCCAGGCAGGAAGAGAAAGGAGCAACATGCCCAGGAACAGCCAAGTGTGAGTCCCCAGATGTCAGAATCGGTCCTCATGGCCTCACCACTTCCCAGCAGACGGACGCAGGCAGTGGCCTTTCTAGAGTCAGCGCCGCAGTGACACCCTCTTCACCAAGGTGTGTGGACAGGATGGGCCGCGAGTCGGCTGACTGGACCGGAACAGCAACCACGTGACCTGGGAAAGTGTCCGCAGCGGTGGGCGCCGCCAGCACCCCACGCGGTGTCAGAGGTGCGATGGCGTTAACCCGCCCTGAGCAGGCGGGCGTGCCCTGTGCGAGGTGGCTCCTCTGCGAGAGGCCGGCCCTGGCAGGCGTCCGGGCCTGGCAGGCGGGGCTGGCCTCTGCCTCGAGAACAGTGATTTCCTTTGCACTCGGTCCACAGCAGGGGGGTGCCCAGGCCCAGCACAAGGACCCAGGTGGCAATCCGGGGGGGGGGAGGGCGAGTGCAGTCAGCAGCCTTGTTCCACTTGGTCTCCGCAGAAAACCGGCTCTTTGGGCATCTAACGCGAGCCAGCCAGCCAGGTCATCGCAGCCTCAGTTTACTCCCACCGCCCGCGGACCCAGAGGGTGTCTTTCATCGGCTGGCTCGAGGTTTTCTAAGTGGCAACTCGAAAAACGAGGCCATTGGCCACAGCCCAAGAGTCCGTGAAAACATGCCCGGCTTTCCCCTGGAGCACTGGCCGGGCCTGTGAGCCTGCCCTGGAGCCCCACTTCCTTCGGGAGGGACTCACCGGTTTCAGTTCTGGGCGAACAGCACCCCAGCCCAGGGACCCACAGCTTCCCATTTAGTTGGCCCATCGGTGAACCAGGCCCCGGTGTTCTGGGGGGAAAGCTGGGCTGTTGCCTGAGCCCAGCCAGCTGTCCTCTAATGCACCATGGTCTTTTTTAAAAATATATTTTTATTGACTTCAGAGAGGAAGGGAGAGGGAGAGAGAGAGAGAAACATCAATGATGAGAGAGAATCATGGATCGGCTGCCTCCTGCACGCTCCACACTGGGGATCGGGCCTGTGCCCTGACCGGGAATCGAAAAGTGCCCTCCTGGTTCATAGGTCGGCACTCACCACTGAGCCACGCCGGCCGGGCCCCAACGCACCATTTTCACTGCACAAGCCAGGCTTTCATGGGTTAGGTGTTCAGTTTCAACAAGAGCCCAGCAGTAAGCCTCTCCCAAGGGCGCACCTGGTGACGGTCAGGGAACAGGACGTCCAGACCCCAAGGCCAGCGGCCCCGGTAGCACCGGCACCAGCCCCGGAGACGCGCAGGGCTTAACGGGGCCATGGATCGTGGGGCCCCAAAGGGAGCGAGTGGCCCACAGCTCGCAGGGCAGCCCGCAGAGCAGTCGGTGGTTTGGGTGCTGCTCAGAGGGTGCCGGCCTGCGGGTGAGCCGACCTAAAAGGACCAAGCAGGGTGCCCAGTGAGGCCATGCTGCCTCCGCTCCCCGGAGATCCAAGCGGGTGCCGGCCTCCTGGGGAGCGGTGGCGGGAGGAGGGAGGAGCGGATCCCGTGGCTGTCGGGGAGGCTGCACATGGTGGGTCTGGCCAGGCCCGAGTCCCCGAGTGTCTCAGGGTCTGTCAGTCCCGCTGCTGCGGGAGGGGTGCACTCCCTGCTGTCAGCATCGCGGGGGCTGAGGCTTCTGACGGCCACACTAGCCGTACCCCAGTGCCAGCTGGGGACATCGCAGGGCGAAAGGACACGGGCTAAACCCTAACCTCCCCACAGGGAGCAAATGCGGCGACACCCACGAGCACTGGGAACGTGTGCGGGCCTTCCTGACGGGGCGCAGCCCCTCTGGCACCTGAGCTGGGGGGACAGCACCCATGTCTAGGACACGCTCAGATGCAGGCACAATACCTGGACCGAAGGGCAGGCCCCAGCTTGTCCTCC